TCCCTTTAACATGTGGTCTGTTTCAATAAGTACTTGGCAACTAAGAGGAAAAACAAGGAAGCCTGAGTTTCCCTTCAAGAGCTTTGGAGAATTTTTGTATTTATTGCTGAATAGAATAAAATAATAGAGTTGGAAGATACAGTATCTTGTAGATTATCTAGTCCAACCCCCTGTTCAAACATTTCTGACCCTGTACCATTTCTGACAGATGGTGTCCATTCTCTTCTTGAAAGCTTTCAGTGATGAAACACCCACAACTTCTGAAGGCAAACTGTTCCATTGGTTGATTGTTCTCACTGAAAATTGGTCCTGCTCACACTTTTTTTCCTTTCCCAAACAATGCTGTAGAGCAATCAACTTCACAGAAACTCACTTTTGTGCACTCACTTTTGTTGATATGTGCAGCTAGGCAACATGTTAGAGACAAAGAAAGGGATGTCCATTACCGTAGCAACATCAGATGCTAACATACTAAATAAGTAAGATAGGTCTTATTAAGACCTAGTGCTTTGCTTCTGTTAATTCTTCAGCGTACTCAGAGGAATCATTAAGTAGAAGTTTAAAGACTGAGAGATATCAAGGTAAGACCAAGCAACAGCAAACATGGAGTGGAGAAATGCAATTGTTAGTAGAAGGTGAGTTCAGTTACTGAATTCCTATTTTTTATAAGACTGAACTATTCAAATTATTGTTTAGTTATGAAACAAAAGCATTTGTGTGAGGTATAAAAATAAGACAAATAAATAGTTAATTATGTTATGTTGGTTTAATGCCAGATTTCAGAGTCATAAAATTCAGGTTCCTGCTTATTTTTTATATATACATTTCATTTGTATATATTCAAATTGGGACATAATTAAATATAATTCTATTTGGTTAAGCTGTTGCAAATTGCAGGACATATTTTTGAAAAGTAACAAGCTGCCAAAAACACAGATGCTTTGCTAATTAACAGGAAAATTATCACAAAAGTATCTAATTTTATGAACATATAAAGTTAGAAACAAATACTTTCTTATGCTCCCAGTATTCCTAATTGGCCCAAAGTTCTTTTATAACACCTCTCAGAGAGTGAGCTGCAATGACTCTGGCTACTGATAATAACTATAAATGCTAATTAGCTTATATAAAATCTGTTTTGCTGTACTGATTCTTGATTACATAATCATACTGGATGGAATGATTCCTATTATTGCTATATTTATTTGACCCTTAAAACTTTAGCAATGGCTAATGAAAAGCTCATGAAACAGAAATTTCACAGTTACAAAAATGAGGATTAAGAAATAGCATGAGGGAGGCTATGAAATCTATGATTCATCTAATATGAAATCATTACTGTTTAATCAGGGTGAATATAAGCATGTTTCAGTAGCTATGTTCTTTGACACAATCATCTGTTGTCATATAAGAATTAAAGAGCCCTTGTAATTTCAGCTAGGTACGTGGCACTCTATCCAACCAGGAAACAACTGTTTATAGCAGTTGTCTATATTGTCAAGCTGTTTCTTGACAATTTAATATAGATGCAAAGGGATGGGAAAATATGAAATTGCTCCAACTTATATATGCTTTGACAGAGGAGTATTGCAATGCAGCTTTTAAAATAGTAATGGGTATAGTTGGCCTCAGATGATTCTGAAGGCAAATATTATGACTATCAAAATAAATAAGAGCCAAGGTGGCTCAGTGGTTAGAGTGCAGTACTGCAGGCTGCTTCAGCTGACTGCTAGCAGTTCAGCAGTTCAGATCTCACTGGCTCAAGATTGTCTCAGCCTTTCATCCTTCCGAAGTGGGTAAAATGAGGACCCAAATTGTTGGGGGCAATATGCTGACTCTGTAAAACCTCTTAGGGCTGTAAAAATCACTATGAAGCAATGTATGTCTAAGTGCTATTGCTATTGATCTGGATGTCTCAGTCTGGCATCTACTTCAGAGTTAAACCTTGGGAAAGGCTATTTTCTTTCCTAAACTCCTCTTATTCCCCAGGATTGTCTATTGATAGTAAGTGACCGCTACAAATCATGACTCTATGATGCCCACAGTGATCTGGGAATTCTGATGCAACATTTTTTCAGTGCTTTGCGGAAAATGTCAAATGATCTCTATCGCTGCTGAGGATAAAGGTAATACCTAGTTAAGGACTCCATCTTGGGGATTAATTAGCTATTT